GGGAAGGGGGAGGCTTAGACAGTGCCATAGCAGTAAAATGCAATGAATGCTCTGTGAGTCTTCATGGAAAGGTTCTAGGTTCACATCTAGGGACCACCCTGGGTATGCAGGGCACATGCAAGCCCATGATTCAGGGCTGGCTGAGACTGGGGATGGACTGCAGAGTCAACACCCTGTTGGGGTGCTGTCTGCCTGTCTCTTGGAAGAAATACATAAACTTAAAAAAATGTATAAGAAAATAATTTATGTAGACAGATGGTTGCATTACAAATACTTAAAAATTATTGAAAGTTACTTATTTAAACAAGGTACTTGCCATCTCTTTTGACAACTTGGCTTAAATTTTTCTTAAAGAATTATGTATAGATATAAACCTTAATCTAATTCAAATCTGAATTATCAAAAATCCCAAACTTAAGTATTAATAATAATAATTATAAGTATTAAGTATAATAAATGTAAGTATTTATTATAGAGAATTACACCACCCATAATAAAATGTCTACAGTTTTCAAGGATTGGTCTCACATTTTTCAAAAAGACAAAAGTAGAAATTTATCAAAGATGTCTTAAGATTTACTGTGTCAGGGCCAGCAGGTGGCATGGGTGCCATGGTGTTTGAGGTGCTGGACTACCATACGGCCGACTGTGGTTCGAGTCCTGGACCTAGTGACTTGCTTTCTCTCTTTCTCTCTGTTTGTATCTCTCTCACTGGTGAGCCTATGACAAACTTAAAAATTAAGTGGGTCAGCAGGTGGCATGGAGGCTGAGGTGCTGGATCATGGTTCGAGTCCTGGACCTAGTGGCTTGTTTTCTCACTTTCCCTCTCTCTCTGATCAAATTGAAAATGATGGTAACAAATAAAGTTAAATAATTCTTTAAAAAATAATAAATAAAGTTAAACAAATAAATTAAAAACAAAAAAGATTTACTATATCTGGGGCCAGCAGATGGTGTAGCGGTTACATCACTGGACTCCCATATGGCTGACTGCGGTTTGAGTCCTGGACCTGATGACTTGAAAATCACACCGGGCACATATGCGTGCATGCCCAAAATCCTAAAAGGAGAGTTGAGGAGAAGGGATTGTGACATGGCCATCCCTCTGGGCGGGGAGATGACTTCTTGCTTCCCCTCTGTCTCTCTGGTGAGCGTACACACCCTACAGCAAAAATCACTCTCTTAAAAAAAAATTACTGTGTGTATGCAAACTTCATTTATTGGGTTGTTGAAAACCCATTTTTGCATAGACATATTTTTTTTTTTTTGGAGAGATTTTCGCTATAGGGCGTGTGCGCTCGCCAGACAGACAGAGAGAGACATTAGAGACAGAAAGCGAGAAATCATCCCCCAGCGGGGATGGTCACACCACAATCCCTTCTCCTCCATTCTCCTCTCGGGATCTCGGGCATGCACGCACACACGCCCGGCGTGAGTTTCAAGCCACTGGGTCCAGGACACGAACCGCGGTCGACTACATGGGAGTCCAGCGACATAGCCATGACACTATATGCTGGTTCCCCATCATGACTTTTTTGACAACTCAATAAATTTAAATTCTACTCACTTCTCTATGCTAAAAGAGAGAAACATTAGCATAAATAAATACAGGTACTTATATATTAGGTTGTCAGGAAAGTCATGACATATTTTTCTTTTTTCTATGCAAAAGTGTGTCAAGACTTTCTATACAGCCCAATATGTATCTATGTTTATATCTACTTAAAAGCAATCAGGCTATTGACAGATGAGGGAGCAGAAAAGAATTGTAATCAGGTCCTGGGGATTAAAAAGTCCACTGTTGTGAACTGGGTTGAATCCTCCCCAAATTTGTATGCTGAAGCCTAACTCACAGATACTCAGAATACAGCTAGATTTGAGGATAGGGTCCATAAGGAGATAATTATGTTAAAATAATATCACTGGGGTTATCCCTAATCTAAAATGACAGAGGAAAAACCATGTGAAAACGCAGGATGAAGATGGCCATCTAAAATCCAGAAAAAGAGACCTCAAAAGAAACCAACCCTCCTGACACCTTGTCTTGGACTCCTCCCTTACTGTGAGAAAATGAACTTCTACTGCTGAAGCTCCCCATCTATGATACTCTTTATATAAAATTGCCCTAAGAAGTTAATACAGCCATCGTAAACAGCTACTTATTCTAAGACCTGGTCGGTGCCCCTAAATGTAAGTTTCTTAACCTTTTATTGTACTTCGGAAAACCATAAGGCAGATACAGACATGAACGGCCACATCATAGTGCCCTTAATAATGACAATGGCCTTTGAGCTTTCAACTATGGTCATATATACTCTGGTTTCTCTTCAGATCATATAAATCTTTCGCCTTTTAACTATGGTCATATAAAAAACTTTTGGGACCAGCAGATGGCACAGTGGTTACGTTGCTGGACTCCCATGTAGTTGACTATAGTTCAAGTCCCAGAGCCATCCCCCCTAGAGGATGATTTCTTGCTTTCTGTTTCTCTGGCAAGTGCATGTACCCTATGACAAAAATCTCTCAAAAAAACAAAAAAAGGCCTATTTTCTGGCTGGAACCATAGAGGGAATTCAAGAGAAGAAAAAGATGGTTCCTGCTGCAGTAGAAACCAGAAAAAAGGCTCCTGCTGCAGTGGAAGCCATCAAGAAAAAGGTTCCTGCTATGCTAGAGACCCTTAAGAAAAAGCCAAGGAATTTTGCAGAACTGAAGATCAAGTACCTGAGAAAGAAGTTTGTTCAAAAGATGCTTAACTATGATAAAACTAAGCATTATAATAAGGAATATAGACAGATGTACTGAACTGAGATTCACATGGTCGAGATGGCAAGAAAAGCTGGTAACTTGCAGAATCCAATTTGTGTACCTGCAAAACCCAAATTGGTGGTATCAGTGGAGTGAGCCCAAAGGTTCGAAAGGAGTTGCAGCTTCATCTTTGTCAGATCTTCAATGGCACCTTTGTTAAACTCAACAAGGCCTCAATTAACATGCTGAGAATTGTGGAACCATATATTGCAAAGGGGTACCTGAACCCAAAGTCAGTAAATGAACTGATCTACAAGTGTGGTTATGGCAAAATCAGTAAGAAGCGAATTGCTTTGACAGATAACTCAGATTACTCGATCTCTTGGTAAATTTGGCATCATCTGCATGGAGGATCTGATTCATGAAATCTATACAGTTGGAAAATGCTTCAAAGAAGCAAATAACTAACTTCCTGTGGCCCTTCAAATTATCTTCTCC